ACAGCAGTAACAGAAATTAATCTTTTCCAACAAGTTTAAAATTATTTTTACCCTTTATGGCCGTTTTCACCTTTGTAAAGCCATTTTTTCTCAATAAAGTGATCAATATAGTAAATTACAATAATAAGTCATTTGGGGCTGTTACCAACAAATAAAATCATTATCAACAAAATTCATGCAATGCAAAGGAAACACAGAAGCTGCATCTGAAGTGGCATTTAGATGCATATACACAGTTTAATGCAAGGCATGAATGCTTTAACCTGCAGTTACAAATGCATAAATAATGTTTTAAAACATTGAATACTGATATTTGAAATGATTTAAAAAATATATAAAAGGGTACTTTAAAATGTGAAATTAATACCGCCAGTAGGTGGCAGCAAGTCACTGTTAATAAGTGAGTCATTGCGATTGAACAGAATCATTTAAACGGTTGATGCATTCAGGAACGAAACACTGTCATGTTTTTCAGAGACGCAAAACAGTGCTGTGGCTTTGTTTGGAACCATTTTTGTTGGCGAAATAGAGCAAAAAATAGGCAATATGGTGTCTAAAACATAAGTCTCTTAATATTAACTTCTTTTATAAAATCAATATCACATTTGTGATTTTTGCGAAGAAAAATGGCACTCTTCGTGTGATATTGATCAACTAAATTAAATTATATAAATATATACATTTTCTGCCCCCATATCTTGAATTTTGGGAGCATTCTAAATGCATTTTATTATACTGAATCATGCAGTGAAAGAACACTCTAAATGAGCATTCAGTCTAGCTAGTGTTTAATAAGCACTTATAATTCCTCTTATAATCAATGAAGCTGTGCATACACGGTATGATAAATAAATCTCTAACTTACATCGTACGTACATCTGCACTTTGTTGCTTATGATGATGGAATTCGCGAGTTTCAGTCTGAACAAAACTCTGGGGTTTCAGCAATGACTAATCTGAACGCCTCTGATTGGCTACTGCATTCCTAAACTCAACAGAATCATGTGTGATTGGTTATAATGAGCAACGCTGTAAAAACTCGTAAAAATTAAATATGATGTAACATAAGCAGGTTAAAATTTAATACATCAATATAAACTTTATTTTAAGTATTACCACCTGTCTGTAAGGTAAAAATCTCAAGTCACTTATTAAAGTAACAGTACTCCTCTCCTCTCCTCCAATAAAAAAAAAACACGATTCATTAATGTCTGTTACACACCACAGTTTAATACTAAAGTGTTAATAGGTTGTTTAATCTCCAACTAAGTATGAGCAATAGTACTATTGATGCTTATCTTAGTAAACACCACTAATTACTGAGTGTTCCCAGGATGACAAATGTTAGACTCTTGTATACTGGTGGGGGGTCTGCTGTTGTTAAGTAGTAACTACTGTACTGTAAGCCCCTCTGGCACGTTGATGCATGTCCGCATTCTTCCTTTGAGCCTCCAGAGCTGTGATTAGCATCCTGACAGAGATAAGGAGCCGGTGTTGATGCTCCTGCGGGGCAGACACACATCACGCTAAGCTTGAACGACAGCCCCACTACAGTTGGGACTGCTGGTGACCGTTCCACCCCCTCAGCCCAAACACACACATTGAGTCCCTCATTCTCTCTCACTTATTACTTCTCGCCTCCTTTCTTCAGGCTCTCCGTCACTTCTGCCTCTGCAATCACATACGCAAATTGGTACAACATAAAGTGACAGGGGTGTGACGGAGAGACAGACAGAGAGAGGGGGACACCTTATCCATCTCTATAATACACAAATTTAAACTAAAAATAAAATGAGGGAAATACTTCAAAAACAAAGTCAAACCTCAAGTGAATCCTAAATTGTAAGAAAAATTTAAAATGCGTGGGTGCAGGTAAGGTTTGACGTTAATAGGTGCATTTAAAAATAGATGCTACATCATAAAATAGCCTGTTACAACCGCTCCACACAGAGATCTGAACTCCTCATCATCCAGTCTGTCTGGAATGAAATGAAGAAACAGAACAAACTGAGACAGACTAAATCCAGAAGAACTGGCAACATCTCCAAGATGCTTCAAGAGACCTACCTGCAAAACTATGAGCAAGTGCACCGAGGGCAAAAGCTGCTTTAAACGCAAAGGATGGTCACACCAAGTAGTTTTTTAATTTAGATTTAATTTAGTTAATAGATAAATCAAATATATTTATGACATTATTTTTGAAAGCATCCTCACTTTACAGCATTTTACACAAGTGCCTAAAACAACTGTAGTACTGTAGCTTTGCAGGTAGGTTTCTACAAGTGTCTTGGAGACGTTGCCACAGTTCTTCCGGATTTAGTCTGTCTCAGTTTGTTCCGTTTCTTCATGTAATTTCAGACAGACTGGATGATGGTGAGATCAGATCTCTGTGTGGAGCACTGGCTGTTGTCAGACTCCTTGTGCAAACAAAAATCTCATTGGTTTATTACAATTAATGGCAAAATGAATGTTTGGAAATGTAAACTGATATTTCCTACTGACACTGACTAAAGCAAAAGATAGAAATAACAGACTTAAAACCATTTTTTAGCTGGTGAAAATAGTAGCGTTCTAATAATTTTGGCCACCACTGTGTGTGTGTGTGTGTGTATATATATATATATAGAGAGAGAGAGAGAGAGAGAGAGAGAAAGAAGAGAGTATAAAAGTATATATATTAAATATAAATATATACTTCTTTACAAATAAAATTTAGTATATAAATGCATACATGTAAAATATATAGTATAAAAGCATATATAGCAAAGTATATAAAATATAGATGCACAAATTATATACAAAAGAGTACATTTAAATAATACACTGAAGTTTGATAAATACATAAAACCATTTTTTAAATGCATTTTTCTAAATGTGTATTTAATTGTAGTTTGATTTAAATACAAAATTTTAAACATAAGTCAATCCAAAAGTCTGAATGCCGCAAAATGCACTAGAGATACACAGCCAATCTGGATAGTAGTTGTTTGGTATTTTTGTTGATCATTTCACCAACACCCAATAAACACTTAATATTATACATGGTAAAAGTAAAGTTCGGAAAGTACCTCTCATTTCTGTTCCTTGCTGATTCAACAGATTTTCTCCACACTGCCACCTATAGTTTTGGAGGATCTCATCTCATCACCTCTGGTGTGCATGTGCATCCTAGTCTAAAAAATAGTATTTGTCTCTGCAAAATTATATAACCATGTTCCAAATTTGAGGGAAACGAATGTAAAAAAAAAAATAAAATAAAACCCAAACTTAGAAGACCTGTAACATAAAAACCCCACTTAAATATTCGGAATATGTCTGGAGTTGGAATAGAATAAAGAATTTACCATCTAAATAACTGCACACATCATCTTTAAACAACTACGTCAATAAAGTATTTGGCAGCTTCACAGAGCGGATATCTTATCTTCATCAAGTATCTTTTAAAACCTAATAGGGAACACAGTGAAAGACAAATATAGACAGACAGTCATTCACTCACACTCTCTCTCTCTCTCTCACACACACACACACACACACAGCCTCATTATCTGCGACATGCAGCAGTAGGATTAGCTCTTGAAGTTCCATTACCTCGCTTAAGTCTACCAAAGTGAGACTTTTCTTCCTCCTAGACCGTCCTTCTTTTCCTTATCAGCATGTTTTCCCACTTCTCTACCCGTCCATGCAGCTATGCCTTATCTCAGCTTAAATGTGCACATGCACAAAACCCGCTAAAACGCGCTTAAATGTTTCAAGCAGTTTCAAGAGCATACAAATTCAATGAAAGGCAGGTTAAAAAACACCATTAACCAGCTACCAATCAATCACAAATCAATCAAACCAGCTTGCGGTTCGGCCCACCACAATCACATCAGCTCAGTCAGAGACCTCACACTGCACTGCATTTTGGTTGACACCTCGTAAAAATGTGAACTCTCAGTCACTGCAGTGTGAAAGCATCAGCCTGCAGTGGATTAGCACTAGTCTGTACAATTTAAGAATGACTAACCCGAGGCAACCAATAAGAATTAACTAAGCAGCAATCGTTTAATCCAACTCTGATTTACATTGGCTGAGGAGGCTTTGATCTGTTCGACTTTTTTATGATTGGACACAAGTGGTACGTGGGATTGCCTAGTGTGCCTTACTATCTTCTCTATTCAGTACGTTAGGCCAGAGGCACTAGCTGTCCCAGTTATGACACACATTTACATGTACTGCAATGAATTACAGCATCAAAGTCGCAACATATTGAAGAAGAGCTAGCAGGAGAAAGAGCATGTGTGGGTAGTTAGGTGTTCAAAAAAGAAAAAAAAGAGTGTGATTGGGAGACACGCTAAAGGTGCGAAATGGGATTGCAGATGAATAGCGAAAGAGAAGACTGCGAATGAAAGAAAGAAAGATCAGAGTTATCCAAGGGGCATCAAGTGCACTTGATTTTAGAGAAACCTATTAGCTGTTATAAAGTAGTCTAAACTAAAATATGAGCCTTTTTCTAGCTGCATGCAAAAATAACTTTTGGCAAATGGAACCCCCCCCCCAAAAGAGCAGGTTCAGTCAAAAAGAAATGTCCATGTTCTTTCCTTATAAAATCTTGTAAATTGATAAAATGATCAAGTGTGCAATGATTTAAAGCTGATTACTCCTTCTTGAATGTCTTGCAATGTCTGCGTTTCTTCATTAAAGATTAAAAATAATGTGACTATCCACAGACTTTGGGTACGTAAAAGTATGCATGCTTCGATTTAAACTGCACGCAGTGAGCAGACAAGTGAAAAGTACACAAGTCACACCTGTTCTACACAAGCCACAAACTAAAATGCATGCATGCACACACAAAATAAAGTGCATGCTTTCTTTTTTGGTAGGGAAAAGGTTTTAGGTTGGGTTGTGAAACCTATGTCATGTCCCTTGGGAACAAGGTTGGGAACACTCGGCTACATGAAAAGGAAATTAAAGTGCAGCACAGGCAGGTTTGCGAGAGCTGCTCTGTCACTTACTAAAGAAGATGTACTCAGTGTAGCTGCTCCAGATCTTGTCGTCTCTGTACTGGTTAACGAATGCAGCCGTTCCAGTTGAGTTGCAGGCCACCATCTGGAACCCAGCCTCACTCAACCTGTCGAATGCTTGCTCCAGGTAGGTGAACTTCAGGTAGAAGCGGGAGGTGTACTTCTCTGGTGGACGGTCCGGATCTCGACTTTCATTTAGAGTGTCTCCGAACACTTCCTTCGCCAGGGCGATACGCCCACAGACCATGATCCGTGCCACACGGCGAAACTTAGCATCAGCTTGGTTATCCCTCACCATTGTGTAGGATCCCCGATAACCTATCGTAATAAACCCAGATCTCTTGTCCAGGGCAGAAGAGGAAGTCGCGTAGTTGGTGGCGCAGTTTCCAGTTCGAGTCACCAACTCGCTACTCTGCGAACTTTCCTCAATGTCGCTCTGGCAGCCTTCGTCATTGAGCGAGCCTTGCTTGGCTACACGTGGGCCCAAAAGTCTAAGCAGTTCCCCCAACTGGAAGTGCTCGGCCTCACGCTGAAGACGTTCCCGCTCCGGGAAGTGTTCCGGTAGCACGAGCTGCCGGTCCCGTAGGAAGTCCAGCACGTATCGGAACAAGAACCCGTCGCGGTCGATGAAGAAGCGCCCTCGGCTGTCACGGGGCAACTCATGCAGGCTGCACCGCGTGAACATGGTGTGGAGGGTGGTGTCAGGTACGCTGACCAGGGTGGAGCGCTTGGTGACGTACACCTGGCCACCGACGTTGAGTTCCACGACCTCCGGGTGCGGACTCGACACCTCGCTGATAGGGAGTATGGTTTCCTTCATGGCCATGGTCCAAACCCACCGACACGACAATGTAAACAGAAGACAGAATGAAGAAAGAGGCGACTCTGGAAAGATCTCAAAAAGAAGCAGGGAACGAATCCATAGATGTCCAGGCGTGATGGATCTCAGTCAAGACTTCATTGCCAAACAGCTGGTAAAGTTTGAGAGAGAACTACATCGCTGCTGGAGAATGAGAGAGGGATAGAGAGAAGAAGAGAGGGAGATTAAGAAAAAGGGAAGAGGAGAAGAGAAGGGAATGGAGTGCTATCAAGTTTCCTCAGCTGCTGTCCCTCTGTTGATGAAGAGAGCAGTGGAGTACGAGATGGAGACACTGGGGGGGGGGAGAGAGAGAGAGAGAGAGAGAGAGAGATAGAGAGGGGTGGGAAAGAGGAGGAACGCCAAACAGAGACCCACATCATTTGTCCAAGGTCAAAGGGAAGCCACAGTGACATCATCTACAGAATGAGAGAGGGAGTGGAGGTGTAGCCGCACAGTCCTGCCTTTTAAAGAGACAGCGGCGCATTAATTTACACAAAAGCATGCAGCCAAAAAATAATTACCATCAAAGGATAAGTTATAAACCCATAGAAAAAGAAAATGAGAAATGCATTTTTGGTTTGTTCTTTTAGTTATGTGCATGTGTATGCTGTTGTGTAGAATAATGATCTCTCTAAATGACTATCTGGTGTAATTGAGTTGGACTCAAATGTCTGCATGTTGTAGCACAGTAAATAATGAACAGGCACACAATGTGATTGGCTTGTGGGAATAAACACAGATTAGCTGTAATTCTCACATTATCTCTGCCAAACCATTAAAACGGAGGGAGAAAGAGAGAGACAGAGAGAGGTGCACTTTATTAATCACCCAGTAGACTATATCGCCACCTAGGGGCCATATGTAAGTGTATTTGGTCAGGTTTGTCATTGAAAGTTAAAAGATAAGCAGTAAAACAATAACCAGTTCTGTTAAAATGTATTTCAATTTCTGAATGAACAACAGATTGCAAATCAGAGTGAGATTTTAAAATGATTTCTTGATAGATTTAATAACATTGTAAATATTGAAATAAATGCTGGATGGAGAGTATTTACAAGCTTATCTGGAACATTTCACCATTGCATTTGGTTGTGACTTACATATTTTAATTTTTTTTAGATTAGTATGATTCAGATGGGTAACCAAATCAGATAATCTAAAAATAACTAGCAAATGGTACACATTCCAAATGCAGGTGACCTCTTATATCTGGCATTAGGATTGTATCTGAATATTTTTAGCCACATGCATTTACACCTTTATTGTAATGTGTGTCAAGTGTGAATCAACTGCACTTACCCCCGCAAAATGCAAATTACCATTTACATAATAGAGAAGTTCTGTTAACTGACACATTTCATTCATTTGCAGAATTTGAAAAAAATCTGATGGATAATTGAACATCCTTTCTGTAATTTCCTCTCTTTAAGAACACCTCTGTAAAGAAATTAACAGGGACTGAACTTGAAGAAAATTAGAAAAAGTTTTAAAGCACTTTCTTAGGAAAGAGGGAAATGAGATGGCATTAAAATTAAGGTTATTTTGTATTTCCACATTAAGGTTGTAAATGTGGTCAAAATCACAGACCACTTGGTTAGAAACACAGATTCAAAACTTGTATGACAATTTGGGAGAAAAATTAAAGTTTGAACCATAATATGGTCACTGAAACAGTTGCATGAGGCTTTTAAGCTACAGGTCGAGTGTTGAATTTTTAAAAGATCTTTGGAAAGATAGTAGATTCTAGAGCAACCTTATCAAAAGGATCAAAACATATCCAGCTACGAGGTGACATTTTCTTGAAGGACAGCAGCCCACGTGGCTTTTCAGGAGATCTGGATGACGATAATGTCAATGCATTACTATTTATCTCTGTCATTCTAGGTACACTGTCCCTCCTGAGGAACAATAGGCTTCCTCGAGGGACAAACTGAAAAGCAGGGCCATTGTTTTTAGGTGCTAATCACCTGGCTGAGAGCTGACAATGAGTAATTACTGCGATCCTGAAGACTGCAGCCTTGGCGGTGTCTAAATACTACTCGCTGTTGATGAATGGACCAATTAATCTGCAGTCATATTCAGCATTTGCATGTGATTCCCATGTTAAGGCCTATTTCTGACAATGTATGGTGAGTGATTTACCCGTACACAGCCAAATACCCACAATCAAACAGAGCAGAGGATTGTAATTGGAGCACGGCAGTGAAAATTATAATGCTGTAGCTGGCCTCTATCTGTGTAATTGTATGGTAAGCTGAAAATAACAGATCTTTTAACAAAAAACACTGGATGTGAGCATAACAGCGGTGGACATTACACACAGTTTTTCTTTTTCTCTTCCTCATTCAGCCTTTTCATCTCCCTTTTTTCTTTGGAATATGTTCAGGAAAGCATCATGACAATTACTTTTCTCAGCAGGCTTGGTGGATGATAAAACGGGCAAAAAACCCATAGACTTCCATTGAAAGGACCCTAGCCATCTATCTAGTGATCAGAACATCATAGAAACTAGGCCCTTTTGACTTGGTTCCGTAATAAGCAACCATTCAAAACACCCTAGCAACCACATAGCAACACATTAAAAACCACTTAGAACAACTGCATATAATCACCACTCACCTTTTTTTTCAGAAAAGGTCTCTCCTTGTGTGACTTCACCTTATCACCCTCCTGTCAGGTGATTCAATGGAGCTCCATGACACTGTTCATCCTCTTTTTTTAGTTTCGACTCCATCGGCCCATCACACTCTGCTGAGACTCCACAGCCACACTTCCCTCCATGATTACACTCCGACAGACACCAGTCAGACCTGCACACAGAGTTGTTCATCAGCCACTCAAGACAGCATGCGTGGCTGATTATATAGTGGAAGGCACAAAAAGGACATTGACCTTCCTTCTGAAATAATCGCTCTTGAGGTAAACCGCCTGCTAAGTATGCAGCACAGTGCATGTGAATGACATACTGAATGTCATACTCAGCGCGTGCAGCTTTATCAACCAAAGAAAGAACACCACCGCCACATATTCGTTTGTAGATATGCTTGAATAATGACATTTTACTGCTCTGGTTTCTTTAAAAAATGTGTTTTCTGTACAGACACTGAAATATAATGTTTTAAATCACAATTTTATGATAGCACAACATATTTAATATGATACTGACTACAAATACATGCAGAATTTTAACAGATCTCATCAATCAAATGCAACCAAACACAAGCCTATGAAATCACTCAGTGTTTGACATGACTACACAATATCAAACCTCTTACACTAAGTGCTTTGGCGTGTAACTCGTTACGCATCATTAGAGCAATGGACATAATTGATGTCCCAAATTATGCAGCTTGTTGAATAGAGGTGTGTGCTATTAATGAACCCATTTTTGTCTGCTGGATGGTAGTGTTATTAACTCAAAGTAAAAATGATTAAAATTTTAAATAAAGCAAAAATGATTAAAATTTTAAATAAAGCTGAAATAAATTAAAACGTAAATATTACATGAAAACTATTTTATTTCAGTTGCCTGCCAAGGCAACATTTCTAATTTTCATTTAAGTATCTTTTTTTTTTTAAATTTTCATTTATTTTATCTTTATTTGACCCTCTAACGCTAGCATTCTTTATTCTAATTCTATTTGTTTTCTTTTTTTATTTAAAAAAAAAAAAAAAACTTGACCCTCTAACACATTCATTTTCTTACTGCTTGTTTTCTTTTAAAAAGGCCTCTAACACTAGCTTTCTCTATTCTTTTTCTATCTACTTGTTTTTTTGTTGTATGTATGCATATAAAACCTTGCTACATGTACTGCGTTAGGCTAACTGAGACTTGTCATAGAACTTGCATATTATTGCTCTTTTGTTGGTTTTGATTGCTTCTATTGTCCTCATTTGTAAGTCGCTATGGATAAAAGTGTCAGCTAAATGACTAAATGTAAATGTTAGTACTAAAACATTTTTAATATTTAAATAACTAAAAATAAAAACTAATAAAATGACTATACATAGCAAAGGTACTAAAACTGAAAACAAAAATAAAAGCAAATGCAAAATATTATTAAATATTATAATAATATATTACTAAAATAACACTCCTGCTGAATTATAAAAAATAAAATGATTAAAAAAAGTCCATAGACTTACATTGGTTTAAAAAAGGTGTAAACATCTAGTTGTCTTAAGCTGTTTACTATTTGTCCTCCCGACTCCGTTTCATAACACAATTATTCAGCACAAGAGATTTTTATGTAGCAGCTCAAACAAACTGTTACAATCACTTTCAATAAAATGTTAAAAAACACTCAAGAGCAGAGGTTGAAAAATCCCTGGGCCTGAAGAGGTGTGTATACAAAACTTAACAGTGACTGACAGCAGCAAATGACAGCTCTTTGCTGCAGCCTTGCTTTTCCCTCGGCGGTGTGAGGCCAGGGAATGAAGACAAGCCGATCAGAGGGGACGCTGCCTGCCACTGGCCCCCCGACACCCACCCGTTTGCTGTTAAATTATGGGTTGGGGTGAGACGACTTCCTGCAGAGCAACAGCGCTGTTTCTGTAGACCAGCAGTCAACACTTCACATTGAGATGAATGAAGAGGAAAGGTGTCATCAGCATGACTTGTCAAGCTGATTTAAAAGGTTTGAGGCAGTATGACAGGACACATTTGAAAAAGGGCAGGTAATTCAGTATGAGCTTGCCTTACCAAGGCCTTTAACAGGTGTCAATCATATCAAACTGTCTCAATGCATCATTTAAGAAAGCCAAGAGTCATTTTAAAGAAATTTTCAGATTCTTGGTAGACATTTTCTTACCTTGGTAGACATGGGTTGGAGTAGCATGCAAATATTAATCTGTATGGCAATTATTCAGTACCACACACACACACACACTTTACTATGTAAAAGTACTGTATTTTTTTTCAGTAACAGGTTGTTAGAATTTAAATGTCAGAAAAAGTTACACAAATTACATGGTAATACGTAGCAATGTTGTTACATAAGATATTTTCTGTTTTATATATATATATATATATATGAAGTATTAAAAACAGTCAATATATAATATATATTTCGTAGAAATCAAAAATCTTCAGAAATGTTATATTCCCTTTTGCTGTGTGCGTGTCCAAGTCAAGGTAATATCAATGTATTGTAATATAACTAAGAGTACTAACAGTCTTTCAGTTGCAAAATGTGTTTAGGATGTTAACTTACCTGTAGTACAGAGTCGTTCACAAGCTTCACATGCA